CTGTAAAATTTTTAAAAGTTTAATAAAGGACAATAGGAGACAAAGACAATAAAGCAAAGATTTTATGGCTGAGTGTGTCTTGGCACTCAGCCAAGAGCACACGTTATTTTGGAAACACCCTTTATATACCATTTCTATTGCATCAGCCGGTTACATATTCATAAACAATTATGCATAGTAACCTTTCCCCCAAATTAGTTTACATATTCCAAGAATTATTTAGCATATATCCTCCTCGGGTCCACCTTTTTAGAGTATGCATATTCCTTGGTTGTGGTTTTAGCCCATTTTTATCATCACCTTCAGTTTTGGGCCCCAGCCCACACTGTCCTCAGATAATGAGTGCTGATAGTTGGCATGTCTGTAGCAGGTGTCCTCATCATATGTTTATTGGATGTTATCCCATCCAAGCAGGCATTTTAACACAAGCATACTTATATCAGCTATTTCACTACCATATCTAAGCTTAGTTATCAACAGAAATAAAAACTATATCTTAATAACAAAGTTACTTTAACACCACGCATATAGAATCCATTTTAATATTTACAAAAAGCCAATATTATAATATGTATCTATAACAACCATCTACTTGGGTGCATCAGGGAAAAACCCGGGACCCCAAGCCCCCTCTCCCCTCCAAGGGAGCCTTTCTCTGCAGAGTTCAAGAGCCCAGCTGCCGCTGCCCAGCCTCACTGTTTTGGGTTGTTTTTCTACCACTGCTCTTGGTTTTTCACTACACTGAAACCCAACACCCCCTGCCTGCTGGGACACCTTGTGGCTCCTACTATAGATAAAGAGTTTCTGCTACATCTTGTTTGCTACCCCGGGTGTGCCCACCTCTATCACAGCACATGCCACAGCCTATGTCGCAGTTGAGATGGCCACAAGACACAGAGTATCACCATACAATTTCAGAAGGTTTCAACCCAACACAGAATAACACCATACCACTTCAGAAGGCTTCAGGTATCTGCCCTTCTTGTTCTTTAGCCTAACTTTTTATAGCCCTCATCATTCATGCATTGCATCTGTGTGCCTTCTGTTCCCTTTCGTGATTGGTCAGTACACCTCGGCGCTCCACGTCTCATTGCTTTCAATACTGTTCACCTGCTTTTCACAGTTGTAGCCCCTTAGGGATGAGGCTTGGCCACAGCCCCACTCCCAATTACCACAAATTGTGTACCTACAGGCCTCTGCCATTCCAGCCGCTGCTGAGATTCCGACTGCAGCCCGTTTCGCCATCTGGAGGGGCACCAGAATTAGCTGCCCCTGTGAGGTTGTAAAGGAAGCCCTTTTTATCCCTCCTGCCGGTGTGCCTGCCGTGACCCACATGAAGAGGCACCTGAGCTCCTGCCACAGCGCCCCCTGCAGCCAAGGGGGAATCATTGCACCTGCCCTGCCAGCTGTGACCGTAACTACACCAAAGGGGAAGGTGCTTGACAGCCAAGAAAAGGCTCTTACTGGGTGTCTTGGTTTGAAAGACAGGTGTCTGCTAAGAAGGGTGAGAACCTTCCTTGGAATGAAGATTATGACCCCCTTTCCTCCAAATTATTATAACATTGAAATTAGGAGCTTTCAGGCAAAGATGTGTAAAAAGGAATAACAGTTCTTTACTAGTATGCTGCGGTGTGTCCCGGCAGGCAGGGAGTGTGGGGTTACAGTGTAGCGAAAAACCCGGAGCTGTAACAAAGAAGCAGTGGTGCTGGGCAGGGGCAGCTTGGCTCCTGAACCGGGAGAGGCCCCCTCAGAGGCAGAGTGCTTGAGGTCCTGGGCTTTCTCCTGAGGCACCCAAGTAGATGGTAAGAGTCCTTTACAGTGAGGTAGAGTGTTAATGCAAAATGAACCCAGCAGGAACATGACAAAATGAAGATGAAAGGACAGAAAAGGGACTATGAAAGATACTTTTAGTCTGAATAATGTTTCAAGTAGCTTAGAGTTTCAAAGCCATTTTAAAAGTTTTGTGCATTCAACTTGCTCCCAAATATGCCACTATTTTTTTCTGATTTTTCTGCCTAATTAATTTTGTCTCCTCCTAAACAGCAACAGAAAATGAGAAAATTGATCATCGGAGGGAGAGACGATGAAAGCAAAGAGTTAACATATACTGTCAAGTACAGAAAGTATTCTGTAAGTTTTCAAATATGAGAGTGTTATAAATACATATATATGGCTTTTCACAAATATTAAAATGGATTCTCTATGTATAATGTTAAAATAAGTTTGTTATAATTCAAGTTAGACATAGTAGTGAAATAGCTGATATAGTTATGCTTCTGGTAATTGCACTGCCTGCTTGGCTGGGATAAACATCCAATGAACACATGATGAAGACCCCTGCTACTATCAGCACCTACCGTCTGTAGAAAATATGGACCAAAGCCCAAGCTGGAGGTGATAATAAGAATGGACTAAAACCACAGCCAAGAAATGCACATGCTCTAAAAAGGCAGACCTGAGGAGGAGCCACTGAGGCAGAGTGGAAATTTTCCAGGGTAGAAATCCATTTTGATTTAGGTGGAATGTACATCTTTAAGTCTGTAGCTTGCTGTTTAGTCTGACTGCCTGTTCTTGCAAAGGGCCTGTGCTTGGAGGAACTGCTTCAGCAGAAGGACAAGAGATAAGGGGGGAGGAAGGGGGCAGACAGAGCAGGGCAACCTGACCCAGGAGTTCCTTCTGAAGAATTAGTGGCAAGTGTCACTCGAAATCAGTGGAATGAATATATATGAACCTATTGTGAAATTGCATGGATATGTATTTGAGAGGGAGATAAAAGGAGATCTGGAGTTCCCAGAGAGTTCCCAGAGGTATGCATGTCATTTTAGGGGAATGATTCCCACATGCATCCAGCGCTGTAATAAACATACCAGCTTTACAACTTTCACCAAAGTTGTGGAGTTTTGCTTATCTCTGCAAAACACCATGCTAAGCAGTTCTTGGAACATGTAAACTAGTTTGGGGAATGCAGCAGTGTGACTCTATTGTCAGTGTCCGGCTAGCTCCAGCACTGCTAGCAGCACGAGGGGCCACTTCTCCCGAGAGCTGGCTTCGGGATAGTGCCTAAGGCAGTGCCCAGCTTGCGGCTGTAAGCACACTTTGTGCAGGACAGAGTCTAGTAAAGGCTGCAACCAGCGGAAAGAAGACGGCGGACTCCAACTGTGGCTTAATCCAGGCTTTAATCAACCCCGGAGGGACCGACAGGAGAAGACGGGGGGGGGGGGGGGCTGACAACAGGTTTTTAGGGGTAGGGAGGTGCCGGGCATTGTGCCAATGGGGGTGCAGTGGGGAGTGGGGTCCAAGGGATTGACACGTGGCCAACACCAACAGAAAACATTCTGGGGAGGGGCCCCGGTTCCTCAGCCAACCATCGAACTCCCCTGCTGGAACATTCTAGCAGTAAGGGTGGGGAGTGAGAGTGATTGGCGGGGGTACCGGGGAGGGATCAGAAGAAAAAATACAAGGGTTTCCAGGGAAACCAGGGCGGAGTTTAGGGGATACATTGTTGGCTAAGGTGGAGCCAGGAAGACAGACAGCTCCAAAGGCGGGAAGGGAGAACTGGGGCAGAACCATTTTCAGACAGAAGGGGATTGGAATAAACCAACCTAATAACTTAACAAAACACACTACAACAGGGGAAAAGTTTAAATATGCATAATTGTTTATGAATATGCAGTAGGCTGATGCAATAGAAAAGGTATGTAAAGGGTGTCTCTGAAATAGCAGGTGTGCTCTTGGTGGAATGCCAAGCACCCGGCCATTAAACTTTGCTTTCTTTTTGAATCCTATTGTCCTTTATTAAACTTTTAAATTTTACAAGGAGAGCGAAACTCATTTTTCACAAACGTAATGCAGCAACTTTTATTTTTCCTCGACTTAATCACATTTTGAAAATGTTTGAAAGAAAATGTCCAAAGTTCATGCCCAAGCTCATCAAAGTTTTAAACACAGCATCTTACAGCTAGGAAAACACTGTTTATCTTTTTATTTGTAAACCAAAGTTTGAAATACCTTACATTATACTTTAATTTTTATAAAGAAACATAATTCAAGACCCGAAAGAACAATGTGCCACCAAAAGTTAAGGACTATGTTTTTTAAATCTTTATTTTGAAAAAGGTTCTACAGGTATGATGAATTTAAGTTGTATTTTCAAGTCAACTACCTAAGCATTTAAATTATTTAAAATTAAATGCAAATTTGGAAGTCCAGTCACAGATGACACTGTAGAGTTCTGCTCAAGATAGAGGAGGCCTACTTATGGCAAACACAACTGAACACTCACAAGTTAACTCAGTCTGACCCAGCCACAAATCCTGCAGATCTGAGTGACACTGCTGATTAAGTCAGTTTGATCTACTTAATATAAACTCTCTCTTTCTAAGAAGAATATTAACTAAAGCTTTCAGTTAAGCAATAAAACCTTTCTAATTAGCAACAACAACAAAAAAATGACATGCTTGCTCTGTTTCAGGCACTTTTAAGATCATAGTTTATTTGCTGCAGGTAAAAAGCTAGTGTACAGATTAAGGGATCTGCTAAATTTCAACCCTGAAGTTATATGCCATCTAGTATTTTTACTCTGAATATTAACAAAAAAAAAAGTTTCTAGACACCTGTAAGCCCCACCATAAATCTTCATTGTTATGAGGAAAAAAATACATAGATTGATGCATAATTTGTTCAATGCATATTTGCACTGTCAAACAAATGGGAGAAAACAAGCAGTGGCAAAAAGACAATTCATTTTTTAAAAGACAAAGTCTTATATATATTTTTTTTACAATAGTGTGCTAATCAGCATAATTTTATATAAAAAAAATAATATATAGCACAGCATTCCATTAGAGAAATTTTAATAATCTGAGCTGCAGTCATTACTTGCTAACCATTTAAATGCAACACCTACTAGAACTTTTTGTTTTTAAAGTGTAAAATAGATTGAAAAGTTTGAGACAAATAATTTGTGTACAAACAAACATAAAAGCTGCAGTCAAGAATTGTGCTGGTCACAAGCCTCTTCCATAGAGAAGGGGAAAAGAAGAGAAGAAAAAAAATTACAAATGATGATATGATGATGGAAAGTGGTCTCATTCTATACAGTAATTGTCAAAGACGGTGCAGAGACTTAGAATACCCGGATGGCAAAATGTAGACACTGGAACCAAACAGCTTTCACATACATGCTCTTTATAGGAGGTCTTTTTTTCCATCAAATGGCTGATGGCAAATCAGGGGCACCAGGTGTAAAACTTGCAAAATACTAAGATGGGGCAGTTGTTAATTTACAATTTGAACTATATATACAATATAATGGAATGCATCCCATCCCAAAATGGGTTTATGAAAAAACTGGACCTTTCAACACTAGCCTTATGACTCAGATATCATTTTAATGTAAACATAAGTATGCAAGAGACTTTATTGAAAAGTAAAATTTATGGGTCATTTTACAGGAACTATTGAAAAAGCTGCTTAATGGCATTCTTGCTGTTAATTTTGTTAGATATAATTGAAACAACATCTGTATATAAAATGTTCTGACAGATACTTCACCATGAAGCTTTGGTGATTTTAAAAGGCCCTTCTTCAATCTGTTAGGAGTTGTACTGCAGAAGCACTGATGCATGCACACATCTGTGTCAGCTGAGACTAGTGATGCAACTGCCTGCACATTTCCTTCTTGAGGTATTTTCCATGTTAAACCACTTCAATAACAGTAAGATGAAAAATACACTAAACGAAGTATTTCAGATACCTCAAAACTGAATAGGAATTAGAATGCCAATATGGCAGTACATTTTTTTTTCTGTTGTTTTTAAATGGGGAGGTCTCTTGTACCAGCAGAATCCTGTATACAACTAGAGAAGGAGGGAATTCACCACATGATTCCTTTTAAACAAGAGTTGATTCATCATGTGAGAAGGGACAAATTACAGAAAACATGAACAGTCAATAATATTAAAGAGAAACAATGGGTTTACATGAAAGAAGAGAGAACACTTTGGTCTGAATGCAGTTATTTTGTGAAAGCTGCTACAACAGCCCATAGAACCTCATTCATGTTGGCTTTCATACATTCAACCTCAGGGTCTAAATCTAGAAGCTGCCGCACTCTCTTTGTGGCTAAATCATACTGCTCATCTAGAAGGGGGGCAAAAGCGTTCTCCAGAACATCTGAGGCATGGGCTAAATAAACAAGTGCTAGCAAGCGCTTCTCCATGCGGTGAGGGTCGTTCACCCATTTGTCAAGAACTGCTTCTTGAACCTTCTTAATGAGGCGCTGCTTGATATTGTTGTTGGTGAGAGGGTGTGTAGTCATGTCAAAAAGAAGGAAGTTTTGTTTTTCTGTGGTCAGTACACCTTTTTCTACTAGATTTTTCGCTAACCGTTCACGGACATTTCGCAATTGATAATGCAACTTCAATGGGTTCCATGTTTCACCTAAAAAAAAAAAAAACAAAAAAAAAACAAGAAAAAAGGCAAGAGTCAGGCAAAGTTTAAACTGTATTATTACAGTGATTGTCTCCACTGTCTGCTGCAGAATGAGCTGTCAAATTACTATAGCTTAATTACACTAAGATATGTACCCATGTCAGTATTTAAAGTTTGTACAAAAAGCTACTAAGCCATGTGTCCTGGGTTGCAAGATATGTGTGTATTCAATTTCCCATCTGTTAGAGGTGGGGCAGTTATCTTAATAACTGCTAATTGGGAAGTGTTCTTTATCTCTTCCACAACCAATCCTCCCTCTGGGGAGATATTGTCTGTTAATGGGCCATTGAGTCTCACTGCATGACTGATAAAATTACATCATCCCATTGTGAGAAGCTCCGCCCAGGGGGAGGAGCCAAGCATTCCTACCTGGATATAATCTGAGATTTTGGAATACCAGAAGGAGCCTTTCTCCACTGGATTCCAAGAGGAGCAGCTTTCTTCTCCACTGGATTCCCAGATGAAGACCAGGCCCATGTACACCACCTCTGGACCTTCAAAGGAAAACTACACCCTTCTACAGGATCACTGCTTCAACAGAACAACATCTGTCACTCCAGGAGGACTGCAGCCACCATTTAATCGGACTGCTACCAACACACTGACTAACAGGGTGTCAGGTCATATTCTGACTCTGTCAGTAGGTTTGTTTGGTTTTTTTTTGTAATATTGCATTTTTATTTTTAATAGTAAAGAAGTACTATTCCTCTTCCCATATCTTTGCCTGAGAGCCCTTTAATTTAAAAACTATAATAATTCTGAGGGAGGGGGTTTACATTTTCCATTTCAAGGAAGGCTCCTGCCTTCCTTAGCAGACACCTGTCTTTTCAAACCAAGACACCATGTCTTGATTAGGGATATGATAAATAACCACTATTGTACTGAAGGGAAAGAAAAAACCCCACAAACCCCCCAAACAAACCACCAAACAAAACACTGCACACAGCTATGAAGAAAGAGTTAAAAAAAAAATGAGCATCTCCTCTAATCTTGTCCATTAGTCTACTTCCCAGCTTTTATCAAATCAGAAGCTGGAAGAAGCATCATTGCCATTCATTCTGCCACAGGGATAAGCAACACCTGCACTATACGTCCTACTAATTTCTTTATTTCTTCATGTTTACATTCTTTTCTTCCTTTCTGCCCCCACTGGATGAAACAGTAACATGCACTGTGTGAGTGTAGGTGTATACATTACACAGGCACATGTTTGACACAGGCTTTGATATTTCAATAAAAATTGTCTATTTTTTTTTTTTTTTTGTAAAGGCAGGAGAACTGGGTACTTCAATGTGTGTGCTTAGAGGAGGGAATTTTAAAAGCACAAAATCAGCATCAACAACTACTGAGAAAGCTAAGGTTGCCAGTTGAAAAACTGTTTGCACCTGGTGGGTTAATACAATGCTTATTCTTCAAAACCCACTGGTCTATGGAACTGCACAATGTTTATTCTGTAGGAAGAAAAACTAGAAAGCAACCAGCCCATGTGTGCCAACTTTTACCAGTTCACCAGGTGGTCAGGTATGATTTTGGGGTTGCTGACCACCAGAAACCACCAAAGAGACCCCCAGGACAGAAGAATGTATGCGTAATGGGGAAGGAACATATGTTAATGATTTTAGGGAAATGGTTATCATATGTGTGTTTATTCCAGGAAAATCAATGAATATGTATGTAAAATACAGTATATAAACAGGAGCTTTTTCTGTACTCAGCATGCACAATTTTCAGAGGAGATATTCCCTTGTGCATCCAGCCTAATAAAGAATTCCTGCTTCTTAATGCTACGTTGGTGTTAAGGAGGTTTTTTTCTACTGATTTTTGGTAAGAGTTTTGGCAACCTCAGATAGGACCTACTCTTGCATTTCTACTGATCTGAGGGATCGCAGGACCTCCTGCTGGCACTGACATATTGTTGGGGAGAACATGCAATCCCTGGACCAAAGGTAATCAGAGCAAGACCCCTGGTAAGAAAAAGGCATTCTTTACTTTAAAGGTGTTAACCTGCGCATAAGGTGCAACAAAAGCTTCACAGGGTTAAGTTTAAAGGTACCTAAGGTGGGAACAGGGAAGGTTTCTTCTAGGAGCTGCTAAATAGTAATTGGTTTGGAATACCTCATGGTTCAAATGGGGAATGGATCATCGAGTGAAGAGGGGGCATTCTGGAAAAATACCCCCTGGGATGCATCTTAAAACATTGGGGAAAATTGTGGGAGGACTTGTCTTGGTTTGAAAGACAGGTGTCTGCCAAGGAAAGCAGGACCCTCCCTTGGAATGGAAAATATGACCCCCTTCACTCCAAATTATTATAATTTTGAAATGAAGGGGCTTTCAGGTAAAGATATGAGAAAAGAAAGAACATTTCTTTACTATTCTTTACTAGTATGTATAAGAAGGCAAACAAAAACAACAGTGGCGGCAACAACAAACAAAACCAGAAACCCATTAACAGCCTTGTCTTGGCTGCCAAGCACCTTCCCCTCTGGTGTAGTTCTGGTCACAGCCGGCAGAGGCGCTAGTGGCTGCCCAGCTGGGCAGGGGGGTGCGATGATTCTCTCACGGCTGCAGAGGGGGACTGTGGCGCGGGTTTGGCCATCTCTCACGTAGACAATGGTGGGCGTGCCAGCAGAAGGGATGGGAAAGGGGCTTCCTTTACAAACACACAGGGGCAGCCGATCCTGGTGCCCTCTCTGGATAGTAAAAGGAGCTGTAGCAGGAAACCTCGGAAGCAGCAAGCTGGAATGGCTGGAACGAGAAAAATCCTAGAGTGGTAGATGAGATGTATCAGAATCTCCGCAGCTGTAGCTGAAACTGTGGAGCGTCCCAGCAGGCAGGGGATGAAAGGCTACAGTGTAGCAAAAACCCCGGAGCAGTGACAGAGAAACGGCAGGGGTTGGGCAGTGGCAGCCTGGCTCCTGAACACGACAGGGAGAGGCTCCTCAGGATTTCTCAGTGGCGCTGGCTGGCCCCTGGGTCCGGGCTGAGCGGAGGGGGGCAGCCCCCAGCAGGAAATGAGGGTGTTCTTGGGTGCTGGCACGGCACGCACTGGCTCTGGGCTTCCCAACAGCAGAGCAGCAGAGAAGTAAGCCGGCAAGCCCAGTCACAGTGCCGAAGCAAAAGAAACAAAAAGAAACAGGCAAAACCCACAGAAGCAGCAGTAGTATCCCTGGTCAGAGATACCAGCTGCATGGCCAGTCGAACAGCCTGCCCGGAAGGAAGGGGCTGCCCCTGGCTCCGCCCTCATCTCTCTCCCGAAACCCCGGCCTGACTCCCCACTCATCTTCCCTGGCTCTGGGAGTATCAAGATGAGTGGGGAGGGGGAGAGGGGGCAGTAGCCACCCCAGAAACAAGAAAAAACAGAACAAAACCCCCCAAAATGATATGGGATAACTAACCATACCTAAGACAGGACCCTTCACTCAGAAACAATTGGTTGAGTATTGTAATAGTTGGTAGCTGAAGTATACTTTGACATTTAGTATTGTAATAATTGGTGGTTGAAGTACACTGGCAATTTGTAAAGAAGGGGGACATTGGAAAAGGTCAGGGGAAATCAGACAGGAAACCAAAACCTGGCTCTTCAAACCATCAAGCTCATGACCTTAAGCAAAGATGAAGAATTTCCCTGAAGGGGATCAAGGGAATCATCCTCAGCTGAGCCTCTAGTTACATTATTGCCGGGGAATGAAAATGTAAATTTTAAAATTGATACAGGAGCAGCTTATTCAGTACTGAATACATGCAGAGGAAAATTTAGCTTGGAACCAGTAAGTGTTGTGGGTGTGATACAGAGGAAAGAGAACAGGCCTTTTGTACAACCATTGCTATTTAAATTAAGAAAATGGTGGGGGACGCACCAATTCTTGTATAAGCCTGAATATTCAATCCCCTTGTTGGAGAGAGATTTATTGGGAAAATTGAATGCTCAAATAACTTTCCAGGATGGAGAAATACAAATTCAAATACCCAAATCAAAAGCCGTTGAGGCAAAGATTTTTATGTTACAGGAATTAAATGAGGTAGAAGAAATCCCAGAGGAGGTAGAGAATGCTGTAACTCTACTGGCATGGGCAACTGAGATGCCTGGATGATCAAATGTGGCCAAGTCAGTGAGGATTACTCTCAAACCTGAGGCCAGACCAGAACGTGAAAACAATATCCTATTAAGTAGGAGGCAAGGAAAAAGTTGGAGAAGTTCCTGTCACATCGTAGCAATGAACCAAAAGTGGAAAGCAGCTGTATGGAGCCCCACATGACAGGTTGCAGAAGCTACTGAAGGAGAAGGTGGATCAAGCCAACTTGCTGAACTCAAAGCAGTCCAGTTGGCCTTGGACATTGCTGAAAGAGAGAAGTGGCCAAAGCTCTACCTCTACACTAACTCATGGGTGGTAGCCAATGTTCTGTGGGGGTGGCTGGAAAACTGGAAAAAGGCCAATTAGCAGCGTAGGGGAAAACCAATCAGGGCTGCTGAAGAGTGGAAAGACATCACTGCCTGGGTAGATAAGCTACCTGTGAAGGTCTGTCATGTGAATGCTTATGTCCCCAAGAGTCAGGCTAATAAGGAGCACCAAAACAATGAGCAGATAGATCAGGCTGAAAAAATAGAGGTGTCACAGATAGGTTTGGATTGGCAACACAAGGGAGAGTTGTTCCTAGCTCATTGGGCCCATGATGCCTCAGGCCATCAGAGCAGAGATGCCACCAATAAGTGGGCACGAGACCAAGGGGTGGATTTGACCATGGACAGTATCTCCCAGGTTATCCATGACTGTGAGATGTGCGCTGCAATCAAGTAGGCCAAGTGAGTGAAACCCCTGTGGTATGAGGGAAAATGGTCCAAATATAAGTATGGGGAGGCCTGGCAGATTACATCACACTGCCCCAAACCCTCCAAGGCAAGTGTTACATGCTCACAACAGTAGAAGCCACCACTGGATGGTTGGAGACCT